ATTGAACAGTGGTCCAGACTGATCAACCACTCAAACTTGTCAAACCAATTGACTGATTGCACCCACCATTTACACAGAGAGGTTACGTACATGTACGTATTCTGCAAACCAAACTACAGTATGTTAATATCTCTACTCTGTAGGTGCCCTCCATCCACACCATTTGTGAGGACTTACAGGATCGCCAGGCAACTAAGGTGGCTGTGGAGAATATCGGAGCCATTGATCTGCTGGTCAACAATGCTGCAATCTGTGTTCTAGAACCATTTCTTGAAGTCTCTCACGAGCAATTTACAAAGTAAGGACAGGCCCTCTGTATAGTCACATGAATTGAAAGTTGAACTATAGTTGGGGACTTACTCTGGAAAAATGTGCATCTCTCTATCCGTCCCCCCACTCCCAAGAATAATGAGGTTGTCTGTGAAATATCCCTGGGCTTGTTTGCATTTCTTCATTCCTTTAACCCAAACTGGGTGCTTTGAGCCATATCACTGCTCCGCCTATTGGTAGCTCTTTTCCAGAGTTGGACATGAAGCAAAAAAGCACCTGCAAAATTGAAGTTCCTTCAATCGTTGCAGTATTATTCAGCAGTTATATTTTTCAGTTCCATCACCGGTTCAGGCTGACATGAAGCCAAACAAATATTTCAGTTTTAGTATTATGCCCAGAAAACAAGGATTTTTATGCATTTGTATGACAGTTCTAAATAAGCCCGTGTACATGTAACAGCTTAAATCTTTAATTTCTTCCTCATTTGTTTTAGACAAATGGACATCAATGTACGGGCTGCCATTGAAGTCTCACAGGTACTGCCTCAAACAATTTTGTCCTTTTGAGCCACACAATTTTTCCCTTTCACTTAAAGCAAGGTTTTTGTTTTCTCAAATTTTCTTAGACACCTACAGTGTGAGATGATTCTAGAGTAGGTAAGGGGTTGAAATACAACCTGCTGTCCTTTCAGTAGTAGAATGCAAGGAATTCAGGCAGATTCATGATACAGGCAAATTTGAAGAGGATTTTGGATCACTAAACTTCTGCAGATTCTCATGGCAACTGAATATGTCATCTGACGTCATAGCATTGTGTTCACTTCTTATGCCAAGTGTGAAGCTTGCTACCACTTCTTGTGTGATCCTTCCAGATTGCAGCTCGGACTATGGTAGCTCGAAAAAGTGGCGGGTCTATCGTCAATCTATCCAGTCAAGCGTCCCTCGTAGCACTGACCAACCACACAGTGTACTGTGAGTAGAGTCCTTGTATTACTGACATTTGCATTTGATTCCTCGCTCGTTTCACGTAGACTGATCCGAGGAGATGCCATTGCTCTAGTGACACCACGCTTGCGTGCGACGTTTAATTTGAGCACAGGTGCACTTTGGTTTGTCATGGCACCTTATTTGTCAAAGAAGAACTCGCTCTGCATGAACCACCTGCATGTGAACGAGGTATACCAATTACAACAGTAATGGCTTCTAAATTCTGGTCACCTGACAGCTGATTTCTGTCATCATTTTCTTCAGCTGCCACTAAAGCAGCATTGGATTCAGTGACCAAGAGCATGGCCATGGAACTGGGACCTCATCAGGTAGGTCAAAGGTCAGGGGCATTCCAATCAAATCGAGTGAGAAGCACCATTCAAGAAGGGCATCAGTGCAAGAAGTATCATTGGATAGAGTGAGCATCCATTAGTCTATTTGCGGTACAGCAGACATATGAGGACGCTGTTTGGTTTGGGTAAAACAGTTTTTGTATTTACTCCAAATTTACCCACTTCAAATAGCACCCTGCCAGTTTGTCCTCCATGCTTCAAAAAGGCTAATGGCTTGATGTGATTAAATAATTTTCTTCCCAAATTTACATTGGTCATCTGAACAATATTGGTATACCAGGCATTTGCCCTTTTTCATAGCATAAATTTTAAGTTAACAAAGCAAATCTGCACAGTGTGCTTTGAAATAGTCGACTGCATCACTCAGAGTTTTATGATGACAAATTTTAATTTTCCAAAATCATGAACATCGTGTTAAACCCATTTTTTCTAGCAATATGTGTCCTTTTTTAACTCTTTTTAATTGTTGGCTAGTATTACATTTGATTACTCCTAACGACAGGTGCTCATCTTTTATTTCACTGTCAGATACGGGTGAATGCTGTCAACCCCACCGTGGTCAACACCCCTATGTCATTGGTAGGCTGGTCTGATCCCAAGAAGGCAGACCCCATGAAAGCTCGCATCCCACTGGGCCACTTTGCAGGTACATGTATGTTGAAAGTCAGTGGAGAATGTCACTGCCCATGGGTTCAGGTTGACTGTACACCTGCTCCTAGTTATGGCCGTTCGTAGAGTTTACCCCCTCAGGGAAGATAAATTCTTTTTAGCCAAGGGGGGGGACACCAAACAGTTAACACTGATGAACAAATGACAGTGGGAGGGATTCAATCGTGGTTTTTTTTCTCAAGAAATTGCTGTTTTTCACCCCTTTCTCTTTTTTTCTATATTGGTTTTTCCCCCCTTTTCCCCGGTCCCATTTTTCAACAATGATAGCTGGCATCGCAATGCAGTACACTCTTGCTTAGTTCATCAGGTTCCAAGTTTTCTAAATAGAAATTCACTTCCAAATATTTGTCTTCTGTTTTTTCCCTCATCCTAGAATCAATAGATGTGGTCAATGTGGTCCTATTTCTCTTGAGTGACCGCAGTGCCATGGTCAATGGAGCCATCTTACCAATCGATGGGGGTTTCACAGCCTCAGGAATCTAGGTGACAAACTCTTTAATGAAGTCACAACAACCAGTTCCGGCACATCAGAATCACGTCCATTATATGATAGAATCCTTTAACCTAATGATGTCCACTTCTACAACTCCCCATAGCCCTTATTTTCAACCCATTCAGAAGAGCAATATAGGCCATTTTTTCATCAGGTATTTCCCCGCTGTGACATTAAATTAACACAGTTCATGTTACAATCAGTGTAGTTAAAGACATTATGTTGAAATTTAATATGAAAGTTGGGAATTTGGAAATTTTGCAGAAACTCTGATGTTATGTGCTTATTTTGAGACTTAATCTCTTTGCAGCTGCATCATGTGTTTTAAAGTGCTTGAGGAAGCAGTCCGTGTGTCTAGAAATGATGTTGGTATTACATATAATTGCATCAGTGTTATCATAGGGGAGTTTCATGGATTGGAAAGACCGGGAGAAAAGAAAGCTAAGAGAAAGGGAAAAAATCACGGAATGTTCAAATGAAGTAAGAGTACCAAGGCACATGAACAGCAGAAAATCATGCACATAATTTTGGTGGTTCAGTGGTGTCATTTTGGAGCAATTTAAGGAACCAAGAATTATGGCGCAACAAAATTCCAAGCAGTCATATTGGAGGATGAATGAGAAGGAATGAGTATTTATTGAATTAAATTTTTCATTTCACTTCAGACAGTTTTGTTAAAGATTATTGCTCAAAATCATCGAGGCTACACGTATTTTCTGCTATTTGAAAACTTGTTCATAAGTTTACTAGTTTCACTTTAACATGGATAATTTTATGCCAAAAGATCTGATTCCCAAAACTCTCTACTATTTACCTGTCTCATAAACACCATGTAGTTTGTTAGGGAATAGTATTGAGTTTTTATGATTGAAAAATGTAATTCAACTTACATTTTCCTCAAGAAGTTTTCTCAAAGAGATCCCTTTTCTCTATTCACAGTTTAATAAATCCCTTAATTTAAATATGAATGGAACAGGGTAAAAATTTTCACGAGTTTCATTTATAAAATGTATTGAGCTGGTTTCCAAGTGATTTCACACACTTTTGTCTATTTCTACACTATGTCCAGCATATTGATAGGCTAACAAGACTATCATTGTCTTCACTTGTCACATAGCTTGTTCTCCATCAAGAGTTGAACAGAGAATGGAATTAAGTCATTAAAATATCAGCCGTGTAGGGTTCAATATCATTTGCATGTTCATTCTGTTCTGAACTAACCCTGAGGCGATTTTGCCACATTCATTTTTATATTTGTTGCCAGTCGGGGCAAACATCAACTTTGCAAACTGGTAAATTGTATTTCAAATTAACGTTTTGCATGATTTTTAAAAATGAACTTAAAGAACTGACGTGACCTTTTCTTTTGCTGTTCTCTAGTTCAAAAATATTGTCCGTTGTGTTGTGAAATGTGCAGTTACATAGCTGGTAGTCTGAAATCAATAGTTGGGAATTTCCAATGAGGGACAACGTACAAATTACACAATTTGGAAATGCATTTTGTGAGGTGAACAATTTAGTTATACATTGCTCACAAACATCTGGCGTGCTACCAGAAGTGTGGTTACAGTTTGAAAAATTCATCAAGTAGACCCTCCCATCCTCTTTACAAATATATAGCACCCACTTTGCCTTAATTACACCTCCGGGATTCACTCTAAAATGTCTTTATTTCAAGTAAATATTTGCTCAGCAGCTGAAGTTTAATTTACCTTGTGTAGAACAAGAAGATTTCGGTGATGTGAATGCTAACCATAAGAAGGAATGCTAAAAGTTAAAATCAGATCTAATATTTCACTTGTACGGAGTTTGACAGATTAGACCTTATGAAGCAGCCAAACCATTCAAAACGAGAGCTGCAAACGGTGTAAGGGCTTTTCAACATTAGTTTATTTTTCGAGTGAGTTATTTCTTTTCAGCATACTGTTTCTTGTTTTTCTTTTTCCGTGCAAGCTTCTTGAATTTTCTCTCCCTTACCCTAAGCGATTTCATCAGCTGCTGGTCAGAGACAGAGGTTGTTGCTAGGCCTTCACTGGTTGGGTCTGGGTTGGCTGGTGGTTTCTTGACCAGGTTCACTGGCCCCTTCTTGGAGAGGTTATCAATTGGAGGCAACCTCCAGGGGTCCAGGGGACGATCATGGGGAAGGTTAAAGTGTCTTCCATCGTCTAGCATATTCTCTTTGGCTGTACCCTCGGCGGCAGTACGTGCGCTCTTCCCCTTTTGACCGCCACCTCTGCGGCTGTGCTTCTCAGCATCACCCACGGAAGGACTCCTCTTGATGCGTTTGTCACTCTCCGCCATCAGAAAGTGGAGTTCCTCATCGGAGGACGTCAGCACCTCCTCGCCTCCAGAGCTGGTCTCTTTGGCCACACTGCGTCGGCTCACACAGCCGAAACAGGATGCGTCATCTTCGTCCTCAGTAAAATCACTGGAATAATCTATCTCGTTCTGGATGTGGCTTCTGAAGCTACGAGAAGGTGGAGAGGACCTGGAAGATTGCTTCAGCATCTGTCGCGCTGCTTGGCGGCGCTCTTCATATCGCCTGAAGACCTCCCTTGCTCGTTGGCTCTCGCGGGGGCCCGAAAGTCGGTTCATCCTTTGCAGGATCATTTTTGACAAGTACACTTGATTGTGGCCTGCTCTAGCCTTTGGCTTGTAGCCTATGGGAGGTGTGATGCAAATAACATCTAGGGAGAATTGAGAACAGATGGCCAAATGTATAATGGTCATTCATCTGGTCACAGGAATTGGGTCCAACAACTTCTAAATGAAAATTGCATTTCATATTGTGAAATTAATAAATGACACCTTAAATATGAAAACTGAATTGTACTTTGTGGTAATCAACAGGATGGGCAACAGTTAATCCTAAATGGAAGGCAAGGATGAGTTAAGAGTTAAATGTTAAGAGTTAGAAATACATGAAAGCACTGATTATACAAACTACTACTAGCCCGGGTCTTGCTCTCTAGCACTTGGAGAATTCTATGTTAAATCTGACAAGTCTCAGTAGTTTAAGCTTGTGACGTGCAGCAATTATTCAGATCATGGAGTTGTGTGGTTGACATGTAAACATGTTGCTGTGTCCTCGTGAAATTCTCGATTTTTTCTACCTATCTCACGTGCTCTTGTAGCTCACCTACAAGCAAGCAAGCAACGTTCGTAAAAAAAAAGTTGCGGAGATCGGCCACTGCACTGGAAACTGAAACAATTCGTCTGCTTTGTAGATTAGCCAGAGCAGGCTCACCTGTTCCTTGTAGAGTGTCGTCCCACTCATCACTCGAATCGTTCTCGAAATCAAGTGAGCCTCGCAGGTCACCACTCGTTTTCTGGATTGGCATCTTAGACTAGGCTCCTGCTCCGACGGTGAAGTCCTAAATCGGGAAGAGTATTTGTTTTGGGGAGTTTAGCACGGTAGAACGATAAGACTTCCCTTGACTGTCCTCATACAGTTTTGCCAAACCTCTCGTTGAAAGAACTTCAGTGGAACTTTTGTGAACAATTTCAGGGTCATGAAACTTTCTCCGAAAATTTAAAAGTCAAATGGAAGACTTCATCCCAAAATATGCAAGCATAAACATTCAATTTGTCGTCAAATTCGTTTCGTAATTTGCGATGGAATTATATTTTTCAATGAAGAAGAGAGTACTCACCTTTTACGTTTTAAAACCTGCCGTAAGCTTAAACAGCTAATCTGACTTTAAATACCGAACGTCTCTCGGTCGTTCTAGAAAACAAAATCTCCTTTTCAAGCCAATATTTCAATTGTGACGTCACAGACCCCACGTGCGCGTTGCAAGCACACACAAACACACTAACAAGAGGGTTACACAGGGCCAAAATCACATCGTGAGCGCGAGTGGAACACAGAATGATGAGTATAGAGGTTTTTCACGTGACGTAACACGACAGACAAAGACATTTTCAGGAAGTGTACCACGTCCTTGGAGGTGCGTGCGTTTTTGAATGTACGCCAGAATATTATGTTAAAAGATCTGAAAGGCGCGCGGGTTTCCACGTATAAAATGTAATGAGAGCGCTGACCAGATCAGCGTTCAATTTATGCATTTGTCAAAATCACGTCACTGAAAATTTGCATGAATGGCTTAACTGTAAGAAAGTATTTATCACGATTTGCAATTCGAAATTTCCAAAAATAGGGTCTGTGCAATAAAGATACCGTTTTTTTTGTTTTTTTTGGGGGGGGGTGGGACTGACAAGTTTACAAGAGTAAAACGACAAAAAACTGAGGGAACTCCCGAAATGCAATTCCAATGTAATGACGTCAAGTGCTAGTTCAGATTCAAACGGACAATTTATCCAATTACCTATACAAAAAACGCAAGTTATTTGCCTTGAGCAATTACCCGCCTACGCACTAGCTTTACGATACGAAAAATAAAAAAGTCATTGGCAAAATGAAAGAGGACTTTGGCGGCCAAGTCATTTCAGAAGTCGTGTGTATTAGACCAAAAATGTACTCGATTTTAACACAAGAACAAAATTTTAAAAAAGCAAAGGGAGTTACAAAAGTAGTAACCGAAAAACGGTTAATACACCAGGCTTATAAAAATACCCTGTTTGAAAAAAAAAACACAGCGCTTTAACAAACAGCAGCTTTTCAGATCGGGTAAACATCTGTTGTTTACGGTCTCGCAAAATAAGCTGAGCCTTTCGCCGTTGGACACGAAACTTTACATATTGCCAAATGGGATCGACACGTTAACTCACGGGCATTATCAAACTATTCGAGAAGGCGGCAATTCGGTGTCTTCAGGTATCACTTGAAGTTCTTCTCTGACGAAACTCCGTTTGGGCCTGTCCTATAAATACGGTAATATAAAGTGGGCCCCATTTTCACCCTCTTGCCGTTGACCCATTTAAACTGGCTCGTGGCTTTCTCAATCTGGAAAACGTCTACGGACCAGACTGGATCGGTTGCCCTTCTGACGGTGCCACCTTCTTGCTCGCCCGGGTAATATAGATATCTAACGACTACGTCCGAGGGCAATTCAATTTCTCTTCTTTTTGGGACAGGCGCACTTGATGCTTGTTCCACGCGGTCTAATTTGACGGCTGCTGCGGGCTCTTTGTCAATTAACCGTGTCTTTTCTTCGTTGAGCGATTTCATTACTTGGGGCAGACGTTTTACCCATTCTACGTTATGTTCATCGACGTTTAACATTTCTTGCACATATTGATGACCAAATAAACGCTCGACCTTGTGTTTGACCATCAACTTTTTAAACTCGCCTTTAAATTCTGACCCTGCCTCTACCATGACAAATTTAGGCCAAGTCAGCGGCGATCTTTCGTAAATCTGTATAATAGCTTCGGATACTTGTTCGGCCGTTTCTTGAACCTCGACCCCAGTGCACGTCGACGGTTAAAGCGTATTTAAAAGTTTTATGATTTACACGATCGCAGGGCAAGTATAAAACGTCCAATTGATGCGCCTCGTTTGGCTCTACAGACTCTGATTGCAGCATCGTCGGCCTGGGCACGTAATTTGGGGCGGATAAATAAATTTGCCAAATTGCCTGCTTTTTTAACCAGTTTCTCACATCCGACTTGTCTGTGCCCGTCTTTTGACTCAATTTCGAAACTTCTTTCTCCATTTAAAATAAGTCAGTTAAACTAGACGTTAAGCTAATCGATAGGCCACAAAACCGACCAACGCAGTTCCTCCCAAGATCCATACCAATTCTCTAACCTTCTGATCTTCCGAAGGCACGTAGAAATCTCGCCGAGGACGGGGACATAGCCGTCGTCATAATAGTAGGCCATGCCTAGCCAATTTGATAAAGTGTCTCGCGTCTGTTTAAACGATTGATTTTGATCGACGTTGTACAGTAGGCAAGTGTCAGTGAATTTGCGATGATCGTAATTATTGTGCAGCGTGTCAAAAATGTCGTCGCTAGGTATCGGCGTCACACAGTCATAAAATATTTTCCCCACATGTAATATACGTGAAAGTTAAATACGTACGGATTCGGATCGGACAGTAGGTCAAATCCTACCCCACAAGCCGTCGTCGCGCAATACACCACGAAATTATTTTCAAGATGTATTTTTGCGTTGGGGAGATGTTAATTATACATAACGGGTTTGCCCTTACCCAACGTAGATTAATAAGCACTGTATGCTCAGTACTTGTCCGAGAGCTTGCGAAAAAACCTCACAAGCTTAATCGGGTGGGACTCGAACCCACGACCTCCTGCTTACCAGTGCAGANAGATGTGTTTTTGCGTTGGGGAGATGTTAAAAGCTCTCGGACAAGCACTGAGCATACAGTGCTTATTAATATACGTTGGGTAAGGGCAAACCCGTTATGTATAATTACCACGAAATTAAATTGGTTTTGGTAAAACGACATCGGGTCGGTAACCCAACAATTGACGGCCTCGTCAGTTTAACTCTTGGTAACTTGTACGCCGCGGTTACATTCGGAAACTCGGCTACAAATGAATTGTCTTTATTGAGTAATGACTAAAATTGTGTCCCATATTTTAAATAAAGCTTTTGAAAAGGAGGCGCGGTGGGTAAGCTGGAGGTGGCTTTTCGTATTTAACTGACTATTTATTAATTATTCCAATTATAGCGGGGATGCCTACGGCTGCCAAAGTGGCGCCCATAGCTTCGACTCCGTATTCCACGTAATTGAATGCGGTTAATAGCCGTTTAATCTTTTTATAAGACGTTTCTCAGGCGTCGCGTTCGCTTAAAATCTGTCCGCGGATTTCTTCGATTTTTGAAGGCGGGAAATTTTTGTCGCGTTTGTTTCGGTTTGATATCCAGTCAAGTCTAGCTACATATTTGACTCGACGTTTGTGGTCGTCTGCACGTTTTTAAAAATGTCTAGCTCGAGTAAAATTTCACCGTCTTTATTGTTGACTACTTCTCCTCGTTCGTTTCTTAACGAAAATTCAAAACTCGTTATTCGGTTGTTACGAATAATTTAACGCTTTCGCTCTGGTCTGATGTAGTACACAACACCAACGAAGGTTGTCTGTTAAAATAATTAAAATGCAAAGCTCATCAAAAGGATCTATATTTATCTTCCCCTTGTAGATAACGTTTGGAACTAGCCTACCTCTTGACAGATTCAAAAACTTACCAATTTCTTTCCCTACTTTAATCTGAGATTTAAATCCGTTATCATTATCGTCACCAAATTTGACTTTTCGTGAACTTTAAAACTTACACCCGGAATGGGTGTAAAATAAAAATAAAATCAAACCAATCCACGTTGTAAAACCCCGGTGGAATGACGACATTCCCGCGCCCTCCAATTGTAAAAAATCTGCGGGCATTTCTCTTTTGTGTAATCGATGCATCATCGGAGCGTTTGAACCAGAAACCGTAACCAAAAGAGTGGGTCTGGGTTCGGTTTTAGCGGCTCTGATTGTTCTCGTTCTTTCTTCGTTGTCGTCGCCTAAAAATCCTTCTTGAATAAATTCTAAAGCGATGCAACAGGCTTCTTCATGGGTATAAACTTTGCCTTGGGACAAAATCTTGAACGTTCATTTGTTAACGTTTTTATTTGATTTTCAAGGAAATTTCTTTTTTGGTTAACTGAGGCGTTGAATTCTGCTAAATTTCCCGCTTCGAAAGCTCGAAAATAATCTCTTATTACGTCATAAACGTCATGTCTGAGTAGGTTTTGTTATGTTGAAGTACCCCGGGTGAAAGCTTACTTTTCTGACTTTAATGTTTTTATCGCCGTTTAAATTATCGATCTGATTTTTGAACTCAAACGTCTGCTTGCTTTTGGCCAAATAAAAAGTGTGAGTCTCCATTTATAGTAAAAGGGTTTTAACATTTATACTATTCTTTATAAAGTTTAAACTTTTTAATGGCATCGTTAAAATGTTTCTCGGAGACTTGAAACAGTTTTTTCATGGCTTCAGCAGTTTCTACCGTGACGTCTCGGTAACAGATGGCAATTAGAGCTCGTAGCGGCTTGCCCATAGAAATCTTGCCCGCTAAAACTCGGTTAACTTTATATTCGACGAGACCGGATTGCTCCGCGGTTAATTCGATGTCAAATTCATTAAATGTCTTGCTCGTTGTAGATTAAGGCTTTTTTAAAGACAAAACTGGTTATGTTTACCGCCCACGTTTTCTGCTTCGTCCGAATAAATGTGGGTTAATATCAGTCCGCAATCGCGACAGGCGAGTTTAAATTCATCTCTTCTTTCCATTCTATTTATGTGTGGGCAGGCCGCTGCTTCTTCTTCTTCTTCTTCACCTTTACCCAGGAATAACCTCAGTTATTCATGGGAATAACTGAGGTTTGAAATAGTTTTAAAATTAAGTCATTTAGTTAATTCTCAAATTTAATCCACCTTTATAATTTCACGGGGGTTTCCAATTCAGATTCAGTTTCAGATTCTGATTCAGTTTCGTGAAGGTCAAATCCTCTAAACGCTTGCAATGCCGATTTATTTGAAATTATTCCGTCATTTCTAATTTTCAACATGGCGGTCGAAACTGTATATCTAACGCTGGCGGCGCAAGACAGCGAACCGCGAGTTCCATAGTATACGTCTTTCGGATAAATGAACGATTGAGCGTCGCATCTCTTATTTATAAATTTCTCGATGATGACGAGGTGACGGGCCTCTTTCGTTGGTCAAATAACGAGGCGTAAAAATCTATTTTAACGTACATGCGATGTTTGTCTGTATAGGGTGGTTGAACCACGTATGCTACCCTGTTAAATTGTCTGTATCGCTACTGGCTTTGTAAGCGTTTATTGTGCATGACGGTATGATAGATGTGGTAGTAGCCTGTTTTCCAATAAACTTGTAAGCCGCCAAATTTAAATCGTCGAGTATACGCATCATTCGCCTTTGTAGTTGATGGCAAATTTGGCGACCTACAATATTATCGGCAGTTTTATCCTGCGTGCCAAATTTATACACGGGATTTATACCGTAACAAGTCGCGTCTGGCATCATAATTAGCAGGCTCTTTTCTCGGTTTTTTTATTCTCGGCCGACTTTTTCTCATTTTTTCTCAGGATAATCGGCTGCGTCTATTAACTCCTCTTCTTGCAGAATCTCTATGTTAATTAAATCCTCGACGTTGACGTCTTTTTCAATTATCAACCCAATTACATATAAATCAGAATCCAGTTTAGACGCGGAATTAGGCGGCGGTTCGTCCTCTCGCGCGTGCCTCATCTTTTTGTGTTTGCCGTCCACGAGTACCAAGTGATCCATACCTTCCAATTCGATCCAATTTACGCAGCAGGTGTAAGCGGTGCAACCGAAACATTCGATACCATTGCCGCAGTCAAAACAGGCTTCGCAGCTGTCCAAAGCATTTGAATGTCCGCAGTCATATGAATTGAAACAAGCCACGCAATTTGTACATTTGCCGCATTCGTCGCAAGTCGAACACTGAGTACGTTTTGTGCAATTGTCACATTTGTGACAGTCGTGACATTCGTTGCAATCGATGCATTCGAATAAATCGTCAGAATTTAAACAACGCATGCAATCAACAGCGTCTACCAAATTAACTGATTCTACCGTGTCTTTGCAAAAGAAAGAATTGACGTTGGTTTTTTGGTTTAGCATGTCTATTTTATATTTGTCTGGTGTCTATGTAATTTATTAACTATTTTTTCATTTTAAGCGGCGAGTGAATTATCGGGAATAAATATTTCCTTTGGTTTATAAACTTGTCTCCCGTCTTTGGTTTTTCTCACCAAACAAACGCGATGCTTTTGATTTTGTACGTCCAGCTTTGCCTGTTTGATTAAATTTCGTTGCGTTTTGTAACCGTTGTCTAATAGCCACTCCGCGTGAGCGGTGATTAATTTAGCGTATTCAAAATTAGTGGCAGAAGATGGGCTCATTTGACTTTTAGAGAAATATTGTGGGAAATTTTTCGGTTTTTCTCAAGGCTTCGGGGGAGAGCTAATTTTTTTCGAAAAGTGGAGAAGCCCCCGGGGGAAGTCCCTTTTGGTTTTGGGGTCGCTGAGAGAAGTTGGTCAAAGGTCACTTGGCGTAATAGGTTTGGGGAAATCCCGTGGGCAAGGAAAGTCCCTTCCAGACCAGGGGGCTCGTCCAGAATCCCCCGGTCCCTACTACTGGGAGGGGGTAAATCCCAACCATACAAGATTGGCGCCAGTTTGAATATTTATTCACTTTTTGGGGCTGCTTTTGAGACACAAAAAGGGCCTAGGCCTACACCATAGTTTAGTACCTTTTACATACGCATTTTTAAAAATGCATTTACTAGTTTATCGAACGTCCATTTTTTTGCGCTTCTTATAAGCAGGAAACAGAAGCATTGGCTTCCTCGTTGTTAATTTTTTTTCTCTGGAAATACCTTTAGGCCTACATGCATTGCTGAAGGGAAATTGGGAAAGCATTGATCGTGAGTAGGAATGTCGTGTTATTTATCAAAGGAAAGACAGAAGCTAAGACTTTTCGTTATTATTTTGCAACTTAAGCCAATCACAGTACATGTACAGTACTAGTAGGGCCTTTTTTGAGGGAGGAAATGACTACGCCCCCTCCCCCACCCACCCAGCTGCGATGCTTTTATTTAAAATTTTAACGACTGCAAAAAGTTAGTTTTTGGCAGTTAATAATGTACCCTCGTTCAGAAATGAGAATACCATGATCTATTTATTTATTTATTTATTTCGGAATCAGTACGGTGCCGCCATTATTCCTCAATGGTGTGGCCTTTTTGGGGGTCAAAATTGTATACAACGACTGTACTGATTGCATTTCAGTGGTGCGCACTCGATGGGTTGCTGTAGGTCTGTATGCATGTCGTCTGCTAAGTTGAGGGTTGCAGTCCACTATTTCAAGTGACAAATTCTGGCCAGCTCATTAGCATTAAAAGTGCCCCCAGTACAGTATCTTTTGAAAAAGGAGATTGCTTGGCCCCCCAAAATGGTGACTGAGACTGTGTAAATCGTTGCCATGCGGGATCAACTCCCTGGGTCTTTGAACTTTAAATTTCATATGAGAACAGAATGTCTAAAAGCTACGGTTGAAAAATGGTCCTAAGTGCCTGAGAATTTGAGCGTTGCCACTTGAAAAATGGCTGCAACCAGCAGACTTCGGAAAAATCACTTTTCGGGGGGGGGGTTGTTTTGTGGGAATAATTAAAAGTGTAATTTGTTAATCAAAAAAATATTGAACAGAAATAAAGATTAGGGACAAGACAATAACTTAATCTGTGTTTAGAAATCTCAGGGATGTTGGTATGCATGTTATTGGGCCCTGAACAGTGCTGATTTTACACTGTTTTCAATGGGGCTTGAATTAGTGGACTGTAGGCTACCCTGAGAGCCAAGTGTGCATCATTGTCATCAATGGTGCAAACTTCACTCTTGCGCTGGGCTAAATTTATTGGGTGGCCACGAAATCGTATTTCTGCGCACGAGCTCATTAATATTTTGTGATCCCACAGTTTGTTTGGTTTTTTTTTTACATTAAGACATGCAGGGAAGAGTAATAGGGATATTTCTGTAAATACCGAATTTGGGACTGGCACTTTCCAGTTCCGGGTGTTTCTTTCACAAAAGCCCCATTCCGCGGGGCCCATTTTGGATAGAGGCGGGAGGCTACATTCAAAGCTGAGCGATAGTTTTACTGCTAATTGGGGGGTATATCTTTGGGGAAAGGCAAATAAAAAAAATGGCGTGACTAACCCATATAAAATTGAAATAGTGAACTTTAGGCCATAATCTTGAATTTCCAGTAAAAAAAATGGAGGCCAAATTGAACCTCTTCACGAGAGTCAACAGGCGGCGCTATTTCGGTACTATTTTGCAGTGTTTTCTCTAAGGGCGCGTATGGTGTTGTGCAATAAATTTGCGCAAGATTCAAGATTGCGCTGAACACGATCTGTGCGCTACATGCACACGATGCGTAATGATACGGGTGCGGTGTGTAACTGCTGTAAGTTGGTGGCTACGACGTGATCTATGTTATCGTTTTGACCCCATATTTCCCCAGAAAACCAAAACCTTGCCTCGTTTCCATAAAATTCATCCTGTATGGTGCCAGTACCATCTTTTTAGGTGAGTTCCAATATTTTGATAAATTGTTTTTGTTGAGTAAGACCCTATTGTCACATATGCCAGTGTGTGGTGAGTAGTGTAGCTATAGCCCCACTAGCGTGGCACGGACTCTCACTCCCAATCCATCCAATGGATCAGGAGTGACTACACTAGTGGGGCCAGTGTAGCTAGTGACTTCCTCCGTGCTTAAACCATGTTTACACTGCCAGTATGTGCAATGAGAGGCCCCTACCCTAGCCCTTTCTATATCTCGAAACGGCCTCGCCCACAAAAGCCAGTCTTGCTAGAGTTGGTGTTGTGCGGGGCTAGGGCATGTAGCGTGACCGGTGGCACAGGTCATGTTGATGGTGTTGGTGCAGATGAAAACAGAGCTAGGCCTAGGCTACCTGAAATTGATACATCTTTAGGGTAGGCCTGGAGCATTGATGACGACTGAGGGAGCCACCAGTTATTCCTGATTGCTATTGTGGATGACTACTGGCGTGACTGGTCTCTATCTGGTTCGTAAGTGTGAAGTCGCTTCAGTTTAAACCACGCCCACTGCACATGCACTGCACAGTAGAGTTACATGCATTGATCGCCGTTTACATGGAACCATGGGACTGGGGCCAATTTCATAAAGCTGCTTAAGCACAAAATTTTCTTAAGCAGGAAAAAACTTTGCTTAATAAACAAAGTTTGCCATCTTAAACTCTATCTGATTGTCATGCTAACCAAAAAACAGCTAGGCCTAAATACAATCCCAAAACAATTGTACACCACATGGAGTTTTGGCTGGTTACCTGATTTATCAATTAAGGTTTTCTCGCGCTTATGCAAATTTTGTGCTTAAGTAACTATGAAACTGACCCCTGCGTGAAGTTAACGCACAACTTCAGCGATCATCCGATGGGAGCTCGCAAATCGTAGCACATCTGCGTGTATGACAAAGTCACTTATGAACCGGATACTGGTGTGACAGTGCAGTGGTAGAACATTAGGTTAAGAAGCTTGTACTTCAGGCCTTAATCCAATACTTCTGAGTTTGGCATGGATGTGATGATGCAACAATTGATAGGACTTTTCTATAATTTCTTGTTTGCATGATAAAAATAGGAATATTAAAATCATGTACATGTATATTGCACTCTTAACAGACCTGACCCTTTAAAAAAAAAAGACGATTCGTCGAGTCCTAGTTGCTCAGACTATTGTTAGAGCATAGGACTTATGGGTTGACCATTGGTAAACTTACTGGTCTCTAGGCTAAGGCCTACCCTGTTGTCTTTTCTTTCTTCATGAAATGTGTTACTGTTAGTGACTAATAGAATTGCTGGTAATAACTGGGAATTAGGGATAGGGTTCCCAAGTTGGTCATGAGTTTGAGTGTGTAGGAATAATTGTCAATTAAATATATCTAACACCCTGTCTTGAGTGTCTTCTTTTTATTTTGTACATTTTAAGACCTAGGCCTACGTAAAAAAAAATGTTGAGATGTCCGGATGGTAAAACAATTGTTACTGGTGCTTTGTCCTTGAACGAAGCTGTTGCTTACACCCGATAGAGTGCACTGTATTTTGAAATTGAATGTTACTGTACATTGGATTTGTTTGTTTCAGGTCGATTTGCATCTATCACAGCAAAATGTCTTCGGCTAGTGAGGCAGATGAGAAGTACAATGCTTTATCCCCAGAGGAAAAACTACCTTACAAGGTTGTGAGTGCCATTTTCAACAACAGTGTTGCTCATGGAATACAACTTTTGGAGGAACTTGATGTCGATGTGAATTTTGTCGATCAGGTATGTCAGCCAAATAACACAAAGCACACTTAGACCTTGAGACCAAGATTTTCATAAGACAGAGGCATGGTCCTTCTTGTTCTGCAGGGGATCTAACCCCCCCCCAACTTTCGTCTAGCCACCCCCCCAAAAAAATTTTAGAAATAATGATGATAACACTAACAGCAGTTGCAAAAGTTAACAGGTGATGTCATGTGCAAAGGGTCTAGCCCCTCCCCCTGGAATAAATTGCCTTTTGAATTAGGTTTGGATGGTATTTTGGTATTACTGAATAGTGGTGGTATTTTTCAATTTCAAAAAATACCGCCTGGTCCATAAATACTGAAATACAGGCAATACTGCGTAGTATTTTTGGTACCTGGTATTGGAAAAAAAGGGAAACCACCATATTGTTGTATTTCATGGCATCTTTCGTGGTAGAAGTCATCCAGTGTCATGTCTGTGAGATTTCAGCGGCAAGATATTTCTTGTGAAACAATTCAGTGACTGTTGGCGGTGCTTGACGCTTGTGTCTGCTATCCTGTATTGTATGACAGTGCGAAATTAGACCAAAAAAGTGCTCAGACAAAATGTCATAACACAATCAGTTTTGTTCTGCCATTACCAGCTTTTGATCTGCCATATTATATAGAAGGTAGAGTTGTAACGTGCAGTGTCAGGTGTCAAAATGCCCTTTTTTTTCCCTGGTCCTACCAGAACCGCACATGCAGCCGCATTGAGCAATGCTTGTTAGGGTGCAGGCCGCAATAGGTTTTTTTTTAGTTTGCCCGATCGGGCCATGTCATAAATTTGCTTGCTCCAGTTGGATCAACACTTACCAAAGATTTCTCATGATCCACGATTATTCTGGTTATTTAACTAAGGCCTACCGCATACTTGCAGCCTTTTATTAGGCCAAGAAAAGAGTTGTGCTATGTGTGCCTTTTAAAAATTGGGTTGGTAGCTTGGAACATTTTTTTGGTATGGGGGGCAATTTTATGCTGATTGAATTGCATCAGTGTGGAGGAAAGCTTCCAAAAGTATCTCAAAAAGTGATGAACACCTGTCTTAATCAGTGTAAAAATTTCTACATACGATGAAGAGTGTTTATGTACAGTACATTCAGTACATGTACAGTACAGACTGGTACTTGTTGCTGCATTTCCATCACGCATTCTTTTCCATGGGTGCGGGACGGCGGGAACCAGAGCAGCTTTGTTAAACCCTTCTATGCTGAAGTCACTCTTTTGGGTCAGTTGGTACACAGCTCAAAGAAGCACAGCTGTGTCATGTTGTGCACTGCACCAACTGTCCCTCACAGGAATATCAGATTGCACTTTTTGTTCAGTCCAACAACTGTCCCTCACTGTTGCATGTGCATAATTGTGCAGTAAACCAAATGCAGTGAAGAGGACTGCACAGAAGACCCTGGGTCATTTTGTGCAGGAAACCAACTGTGTACACACTGAACCTGTGCATGTTTGTGTTCCATATAGAAAACATATGCAAGAGAGTGACTGCATAGTTGTGCTGTAAAACCAAAGGAGGGTTTATGCATACAGCTTCGCGCACGTGCTTTCATCACTGTGGCAGCGAAATGTTGATGTAGATGATGCGCAAAGAATTATGGGGCGATTTCATGCCTGTACAAGTAAGGTATATATACATGCTTGACACTGGGTGACATGGGCCGGTGATGAGCGATCAGCCCTGATGAATGCCTTGGGCGTAATTAACGTAATTCTAACACAAAACTGATAATAAATCAGACACCATAATCCCATATATTGTGTTGATATCTTAAAAACTGTTATTGATATGTTGGTCGGACAATTTGTCCGAGCATCTTTGATTTTGTTCGGACAAACACAATAAGTGCTCGGAAAATGTCCGACGTCTGACCGTAATTTCACGCTCTGGTGTGATGTCATCAAGAGTTTGTTACTGGTAACTGTCTCAGTGTTTTCAAGCAAGAAAATAAACTGTTCTATGAAACAATGATTGGAACAGCTACATTGGTAACAATAGGAGATAGGGGTCCTCAGTGTTGTCATCGGAGGGTACGCTCCTAGCATCGATCTGATGTCTGCTGTGTGTTATTTGCAGCTCTTCTACAAAGGCCAGACATTGCTGATGCGAGCGGCCTTTGACTCCCCAGGCATGTGCCGAGCCCTTCTGGAGAAAGGAGCGGATGTCAACTTGGCACACACCGAGGTCAGTCGTTTACTGTTGTCTTTCTTGGATAAGCCCATGATATCAGCATTTGGATGTGATCTGTGGAGCTGGTAGAACGTTTCAATGCTGTAGCCATGTTCTCACAAGCATCCATCTCGCGTCGCTCAATCACGAGGCTTAACAAGTTCTCCAAGTTACATTTTCATTGTCTGTACATGCAGATTCAATTTGTGATCAGATTTGTGGTAGACTTCAAACAATTACAACTATTACAAGTATTTGTTGTCGTAGGCCATATCTCCTGTGGATACAGTGAGAAACCCTGTTAGAGCCGATGCCTAACGCAACAATCTCTCCATAATGTCCCTGCCTACATATAGCTACCATAACACAACATGTGACACACTGTGTTCAGGGTCCTCTACTATCTCAAGCTGGTACTTAGGAATTTATTATTAGTCCACTGAACATCATATAAAGATTACTTTAATCAGGAAATATTTTTTTATAAATTTTACTAAAAACCCTTGAAATTGCATCTTTGGGTTCCATTTAACTTCAGGTTAAAGGTTTATTTTGCTTTTATGCTTAATGCTATTTGCATATTCATGAGCAGAACTATTATGTCATCCAAGGCACTGAATCTCAATGTTGCACTGATTTGTGCACAGAAAATTTCTAGATTTTTTAAACCACTGCTGAGGCAGATTTTATTTTCTTTGGCAATTTATTGCTGTATAAGCATATGGCAATAATCCAGCAAAAATCCTTTTCACAGAAATGTTCGCAGATAACAAATTATGGATTCACAATTTGAACATGAAAATATGCAACCTGAACCATGTCTTCCTGGATTTACATCAGAGCAAAAGTGCCTTCACTTGTCCAGAAGTGCTTGGTCAATTTTTAATGTTTCAAAAAGTGCACCGTTCAGTTCACGAAACTCAAAAAAGACGTCAAACAATCTTCAAACATGGAAGAAGAGTACAGAGATACACAAAAAGTGATTCTAAGAAAAATTCTTTTCCCTGGTTCCTTTAATTCTGTGTGATGAGGAGAACTGAAATTTCTGGTTCAAATTTCTATTTACAAATGGATTGTTTGAAGATATAGAAAAAGAAGAAGGGGTGGGGCTACTGGCAATAAGTTGTGGGTGTACATTTAAACATCTAACTCAATTTACCTGTGTCCCTGGATTTTTTTCCTTAACCCTAACCCCCAAGGGTTGCAGGCCCTAACCTTCCCCATCCAAACAAAGTTAAACACCCATATGGGACTTTAACTTTGTTTGGATGGGGAAGGTTAGGGCCTGCAACCCATATGGGACTTTGTGCACAGAGGCTGTTGGACTTTGTTTTTCTGAGGTATGCCAAACCCAATGCAAAAGCCAGCTGTTATGGGCCTACCAGACCTATCCTCACAGAATTAAACACTTTACTACAGTTTAATTCTGTATGGTTGGGGAAGGTTAGGGTTAAAATGCCAGTATTTTTCTGTCTTTTTTCTTAGAGTGGTATTTTCCCTTTGCTTTGTGCTGCTGAACGCAACACGGAATCCTGCAAGATTCTCTTGGAAGCAGGCGCTGATGTCAACCAGGCTGATGATGTATGCAGAATTTTTCGTAGTTCACCTAAAGATTAGAAGTACTATATGTCGAGTGGGCCACCACATTCTGTATTCTGTTGGGCGTGGAAACTCGGTGGTGATATTGGCACCTTCTCAAAACTTTATTTCATCTCAAATTTTGTCTTTAAGCTCTGAGTCAAAGACCCATGGAGCTGATATTTGAGAAATGGCATGTGCGATTATTGCAATTTTGAAAACCTCATTAAAAGATTTGCACATCATTTTAAGTCGTCAGCCTTTCAATATTTGGTTGCTATTAGAGGACATCACACAAGTTGGCCCTTAAATTTCTCCAAGCCTGTAACCCGAAACTCATAGGTCACATTTTAAATGTATTTTCTAAACTTAATCAGGATATCTGTGTGAGGAATCTTCCTGAATCATCCTACGTGAAGTAGTACTGATTTAACCCCAGTGGCGATGAAGGGTCTACCGACCTCAATTTGTCAAATCCTTCAAATCAAAGTGGATTTTTAAGGATCACAGAGAGGCATTTTTTTTTTTTTTTTTAAATCTTTGACTTGCCTTTCTGATTGCAGGAGGGTTCAACAGCTCTTCATGCTGCTGCTCATGCGAATCCTTCAGCCATTCCAATCCTGTTGGAAGCAGGAGCTGAAGTTGACGCTGTAGAGTCAGAGGACATTGTAAGTATGAAGCCATGTTGTGGGAACATTCGGCTGTGGCTTGGAATTATACAAGTCTGCAGTATCCATAGAGTCGTTTGCAAATAAGCCAATGACTAACAGCCTTACATGAGAGATTTCCATCTGATTAACCACTTCCTGCCGGGGACTCCGGGATCGGAGCCGTATGGTTTATATGCGTGGCTGGGGTCTCCAAACTCGGACAAAGGAAACAGGGCCCTGTAACAAAAGACCGTACTCTGAACAAAAGACCAGGCTGCTGGGAAGTATTGACATTTTTCGCTCTCAAAAGTGGTGATAATCCAGCCTTGTTTTGAAACCGTGTACCAGGGTTTGGGGCATTGAGAGTGAGTAGATTACCACCGGGGACAAAAGTGTTCTACCACCGCAGTGATGAGCCATACAGCACCGCTGCACGCTAATCTGGCCCCTATTGAAAATAGGTTAGCAGTGCACTAAGCCAGGTTCATGAACAAAAGAAAGTTACATTAGACCGCACAATCTGGGCTCTTTTTACAAGGCTGCAGGCCTGTTTGAAATACTCGGGCGTCAATGAAGGTCACCTGTCAACTTAGAGTAGTGCCTAAAGATTACTTCGTGCGGCTGTAAACGACCGTTAAATCAAATAATGAATTTTTGAGGAATTTTGAAAACGGAAAAAAATGATAGTCATGCCAGCCCAGCATCATCACATTGAAAAATGCCCCGGCATGAAGTGGTTAACATTGAGGGGCCAATCTATTGATACCACAGGTTAAGAATCTTCAGCCCAAGGGCCAAAATGTCAAGAAAATCCTATTATCGGGTAGCGTGCTTTGTAAGTCCAGGTCATGTACTTGTCTGTCCCCTTAGATTTATTGGTTTCTGAAATGTTGCTGTCAGAGACAGCACAGCCAACCTCATAATACTGGTTAAATAATCATTTCAGTCAACTTATTCCGCTACATAGTCCAGGGTTCTGCCCAGGATGATTTTAGTGCCGGCAAGACTATCTAAGCGGAGCGCCACCATCGGTTGGGGCGGAGCGTACCAGAAAATGTTTGG